ATTTTGGGTCTCGAGTGTCAAACTTGCGATGTTGTTTGGATTCTAATCGTTTTCGTGGCTCCTTACTATCCTCTCCTTATTCAGGCTGGCATTAGGCCTTTCTCTTGCGCTGCGGTTCGTAATCACTTCCCCAATATGAATTTAAAAGCGTCTGGAAAAAAAACAAAATACCCAGGTTATCAAGGGGTCCGTGTCATGGCTACCCTAAACCCTAAACCCTAAACCCTAAACCCTAAACCGTTGCTCGGCCTGGAATCTGAGCACCACAACAGCCGCGTTTTGGAGCTCGCCACTTCTTAGAATTTAGCGTTCGGAGTTTATAAAGAGCTTGTCGCTCGGAGTAAAATAGAGGTTCAGTTCTTGGAGTTTAAAGTTCTAGGATGCAAAGTATACGACACGGGTTTAGGGATGGGGGCTCATGGGGTTTGGCGTTTGGGGTTTAGGATTTAGGACTTATGTTTTTTTGCTTGCTCGAACCGTGCGCCCGTCGGGTCAACTGGGTCCTTTCTTTCTAACTTAGGGGCTGAGTACCCTAGCCCAAAAAAGGTTAACCTTTTCAATTCTGGTAGGATTATGTAAACCCCAAAAAGTTAAAGGTTACCTCCTCAGCCACTAAGCTAAACTAAAGGATTGTATAGGGTTTCTGCCTGGTATTCACGGGCTTTGTGCCGTTTTGCAGCCCTTAGCCGAAAAGGTTTGGGGCCTGATCTGGGTGCCAGAACCGGAACTATGGTAAACAGCGTGCGCTCGTTATCATGCTATGTTAGGTCAGCTCCTCAGGAGGAGCGCAGGTCATCTCATGGGCTAAACCCAGGCTTAGGATGTCGGTGCAAGGGGCTTGGAGTCGAGAAAACTCGATGTCGAAGTTGCAGAAAGAAAAGGAACCCAAAAGAACCTTTCGCTAAGCTCATACAGACCCCGAAAAGGCAAGGCACCTCAAACTTTCAGATACCCCGTTTCGGGGTCCAGGGTTCGGCACGTAGAGGTTTTAAAGCATCTAAGCTTCGTCCTTCTCTAGAGCCCGGCCAAAAATCCAACCCCGAAACCGTAAGAATGCAAACTGCGAGAAATCAGAAAAGGTGGAGCTAGGTCCGAACGAAAACACCCACCCTACGTGCCTACATACATATGGGAGTTTCAGAAAATTAGGGTACCTTATTTTGGGGTCCTTATAATAGGGATCCTATTATTTAGGGTACTATATTAGGGTCCCCTATTTTCGGAAACCCCCATATTGACATAATGCGCATAGATTACGTTACATTAGGTTTGAAAACTGGCTTTTAATTCAGGGTGTTGACGCAAAGCTTGGAAGGCGTTGGCGCTGAGGGCCTTGAGGAAAGAAGGGTTCCGGGTTTAGGGTTTGGGTTGAGTTATGGGGGCACCTTGTACTTGTTCGACACAGAAAACTAGGGCCGTGTCCGTGGTCGAGGGCCACAAAGTAGGCGGCAAAGATCACGGACACGGCGGCCTCGCGGTTGTTGGATATAGGCTCGGTGATAGAGGGTTTAGGTTTAGGGTTTAGGGTTTAGGGTTTAGGGTTTAGGCCTTAAGCCACCGCCGAGTCTTCGAGGCTTCTAAACTGAGTATCTACCAATGGATCAACTTGTGCTTGATTTTCTCCACCGAACCTCCCACCACAATCGGATCATTGTCTGGCGACTTGTCTGGCAAATTGTCTGGCAATCCTATGCCCCCCCTCCCCCAAAAGAAATGACTCAATTTCGGGCGGCCGTGTGCCATTTTGGGATTTTGGCCTCCCTACTCTGCAATCCTGCTGGTTGTTGGAGTTTGCCCATACAGTTGGTTGGCTGGCTGGTCGGCTGGCTGGTTGGTAGGAGGAAACATAACCAAGAAGTTGTTGTTCGGGTGGGGCTCCGGCTCCTGTGTTTGTTCGTTCCTCCTTGTCGTTGTTGTTGCTGTTGTTGTGGATGTTGCTATTGTTGCTGCTGTTGTTGCTGTGGTCAATGCTGTTGTTGCTGCTGCTGTTGTTCTTGTTGATCTGGCAACATCCTGCAACCCACACCCCCTCAGAACCCTCAGAAATCCTAAAGACCTCAGCTAAGCCGCTGCATGCGCTCAGGCCCATCTGCATAAGCAACCTCCCATCGCTCTGAAATATTAAAGCGACCAAAAGAGCGCCGCCTCCCGGTAAAGTGTGCCCATGCACGGGGCTCGAACTCCTCAGGCCAAGAATCTTTCAACGACCAGGACGGCGCAACCCCGAATATATGCTCTACAGACATTCAGCATCGTCGGAAGAATGTTTGTGTGGAGGAACTCGTGTGCAGACGTTTTAACATGTTGTCAAGCTTGACTCAATGCTTTCTCCTGCCATCATAACCGCAAGAATTTGAGCTTTGGCCTAGGGTTTGGGGTTGAGGCTTTGGGATGCCTCGCTTGAGGAAGCAAGCACACTTCAGGTATGCTTATGTCCAGGTTCGAAGGAAGGAAAGGGGTAGGAAATATCACTGTGATCAATTTTTCGATTGCTTGTTGCGTGACTTCGATGCTCTCCCCACAACCCCTACTCCAGCCCAAACCTAAGAATTCATCCGGGAGAACCTATCCAGACACCAAACCCAAGCCCCAGCCCGTAGCTCGAAACAAAAGACACCCAAGACCCGAAGGCCCGAAGGCGTCAGACCTGAATCTCGAACCCTTCATCCCAAAACGTAAGTGCTGATAGCACCAAATCCCAGTCCTTTGAAAATCCCGAGCGAAATCCTAAAGCATCCCTAGACACGCATCCGTGGCATCACTACACATCACGAACAGTCATTCCGCATGTAGACGCTCGACCCCGTCGAGACGCACTCAGTGGCATGACAGCACATCAAAACCAGCCATTCCCCATCTAGACGCTCGATTCCACAAGCAGCCACTCGAGACCAACATCAGTGGCAGCACACCGCATCCAACTAAGTTGCTGTAAATTCAGCTTCAGCAATCAAACCTTAACAATCCCGAATCAACGCGATCACGAATCCCCACGTAGACGCTCGGTGATGCGAACCCCCCCGGGTGCTTCGCGGGGTGGGATCCGAAAAACATGATGCGACTTAGCTCCGTCACTGTATCATGCCCGAATCTCCAAACAAAATCCTAAAGCCTTCATCTGCAAAGCCCTTCCAACAGGATTTTGGGCCAGGAGCAGTCGCGTCTGCTCGCAGGTCATCGGGGTAGCGTGAATTGTTCTCGTAAACAAACGGATGTTGTTATGGTTCGGTCGTGGATTATTTTCTCGGATACAGATGCACCGCTTCTTACACAAAAAAGGAGCGCGTTTGATCTCTCTCAATGCGTGACTCAAGCAGCAAAATCACTAGGAATCACGCGCAGATCTGTTGCTTGGTTCGTTATGTTCAAAAAAGTTTAAAAAGCGCGAACACAGACAGGTACAGAAATAGGCGAAATCACGTATGAGCACTTCTTCATCTGTCACCTTTCAAAATGTTTCTGATAAAACTGTGGTGTTCGCCTCGGATCGGTTGGCAACACTGCTACTGGTCTACTCATACGTACCAATAATGCTACCAATGGTAATAACCAGAAAATGACTACACCGTCCAGCGCCGACGACTACCAACACAACAATTGCCACTACTGCTTCAAGTTGGACCAGGACTAGCAACGGGACAAAAACCCCTGCCGGGCTCTTGGTCAAGGCCACAACGCCAGGCACCCGGAAGGCTGAACACCCTACACCCTAAACCCTAAACCCTGAACCCTGAACCCTAAACCCTAAACCCTAAACCCCAAACCCTAAACCCTGAACCCTAAACCCTGAACCCTAAACCCTAAACCCTAACCCGCACACCCTATTCAATCCCTCGGGCTACTGCTATTGCGAAGTGGGCGTCCTCACGGAATCCGTCCCAAATTGCCCTGCAGCGCTTGGCGAACTTAGCATTGCTCTCTTCAGTGATTAGCACAGCACTACTACACGAAAAACATTCGTCTGAACACCATGGCGCTATTCAAGTATGATAGTACTAGTATAATCCTCATCTAGTACTACTATAATACCATTACAGTACCATAGTACTGCTATAGTACAAGTACAATACTTTGGTCCTTTTGTAATATTAGGGCGGATATGGATTTCGATGCGGGCTGGGCTTTGAAGGGCTCAGGTTTGGAGTTGCGATTGTTCCGAGTTCTGGAATTCGGGTTTGGGGTGGAAGGCTTCTAGGGACTATGCTTGCCACCAGCCAGTAGGTAACTCCTACCATGCAACGGGAGTGGCTGGCATCAGACTTGAAACCCTGAACCATACGGCTTAGGCTTTAAGGTGTAGGGTTGAGGGAACATTCTGCTGAAATCCCCTTACTAAGCAATATGAAAGACAAGAGGCCCAACAAAAAGCGAAAGCCTAACCCCAAACCCCTTAACCCCTGAACAAGCTGTAATAATATACTATAATACTATAAAAGTACAAAGATGCTACGATTAGACTATACAAGTACTATTATAGTACTACAATAGAGTAGTACTAAAATAGTACTATCATTGACGCTATAAGTCCGAACCCGAAGGAAAAATGGAGGGAGCCACCTCGTCCACGCCGGTCATCTCCTGGATGACCTGGACTTCGGACCTAGGGTTTAGGCTTTCAGGGAATACCCTAAACCCTAAACCCTAAACCCTAAACCCTAAACCCTAAACCCTAAACCCTCAAACCCTAAACCCTAAACCCTAAACCCTCAAACCCTAAACCCTAAAGTGTTCAGGGTCTAGACTTTGAGGCCTGAACTCAGGGATTCTGCAACTCCCCATACCTCCAGTGTCCTGCATGGGCTGTTGGCGCTCATAGGACTTCGCAGGTGCAGTTTTACAGCTTCTCCCGCCCAAGATCAGGAGTAAACCAGGCTTCAGGGTCAAATGTTCATAAACATCTACTGTAGATGTATACCAAAAAAACACATGTAGGGTAACATACATACTCATAGCTGTATCCGGCGTAGGACTCTTTTTCGCGCAGCAGAACGCAGTCATACTCACCGCAGGCCCTTTGCACAGAAGGAGTCAGTGCCAGGTGGACCTTCCGGCAGTGTGGCCGCCAAGTTCTTCCACAACTCCTGAGGGGGCATCTCCTTCGCGCGTCGCTCCTCCGATGTCTCCTGGGAGAAATGCACATCGTTGGTCTCGGCAATGCCATCCAGGAGCACAGGCTGCATCCTTACGTGCAGAGCTTTCATAGTACTATGATAATACGATCATAGTATACTATGATACTACTTCTATCATAGCACTCTAAGACTTAGGCTTGTCTAGAAAGCTCTGGGGAGATAGGCCCTAAACCCTAAACCCTAAACCCTAAATCCTAAACCCTAACCCGTCTGAACCTCCGAGCATCTCCGCGCTGGGGCCCATGCTCTGTTCGGTCGCAAGTGCCGTTGGCAGACTCATGTCGGAGACCTGCTACAAAAAACTATAGTACTATAATAATAATATTATTATAGTAACAATAATACTATAATAAGATGATAGTAATAATACTATGACTATAATAATAATACTAAAGAAGAATAATCATTATACTACAATAACAAAAAAACTTAAAAAAAAAAACAATAATAATACTTTAGTTGTCCTGCTCCGGCAGGCTGGATTCTTGAGTCGACAGGACTTCGAAGCCGAAGGCGCTCAAGGCACTTGATTTCTGGAGAGCATGGCCCTCATACGGCTTCTTCACCTCACTTATTACAGTAATCGTAGTAGTATTACTATTTTTAAAGTAATATTACTACGATTAACTATTATTCTCAAGTGCCACAAGTGGCCAAACCGACAAGCATCAGACACACTAAAGTATTAACACCGCCAAGAATGCAGCCACCCAGTACTGGCTGCTGCTTGTTCCCAACTTGTAGGGCAATATGATGATACTATAGTAGTAAACCCTAAACCCTAAACCCTAAACCCAAAGGTAATAGTTAGAGTACAAGCCAGATGCGAAGGCCCACAACTTACTATAGCTCGGTATACTACAGTATAGCACTGCTGTGGTATACTCGTTTCTTTGGTATGCAAGGTATGAGGCAGAAGCGTCTTCTGGTTCCTACTGTAGCTTCAGATACACAACTACTTCGTCTTCTGTCCCTGCTAGAAAGCCGCCAGAGACTCTAAGCCCTAAACCCCTGAGGTCCACCCTGGCTGGCTCTGCAGGCCCCCTCAAAAGTCCAGACCCTGAAAACCACCGTCCGCTTGTTTTTCGCCTATCATAAAGGCTTCTGAATAAAACTTGCAGGACAGCAAGAAACAACACAAGCAGCATGTGAACGCTTGACACATCCTTGCAGATTCCCGCTCATGACCTTTATGAGACCCGTCAAAAGCAGCAGACAAACATGAGGGCTACGGAAACTCCCCAAACCCCAAACCCCAAAGCCCGAATAGCATGATGGTAGTACAGTAGCACTACAAGAATGTTATAATAATGCTTTTCTAAGACTCTACTAATACTATACTAAAAATACAATACTAGAACAATACTATACTACCTACTACAATAATATCACCCCCTCTTAGATGTCCTTAAACGGCGGGTCACCACCGCCATCTTCCAGTGGCTCCCAGAGCCCCCGGCCGCGTCCGAGCGCACCATCTCGCTGGGCTTCACCAGCGAAGCGTCATCCGCGAGGTAGAACATGATGAGCCCTGGGGACTTTGGGGGGTTTAGGCTTTAGGGTTTATAGGGTTTAGGGTTCAGGGTTCAGGGTTCAAGGTTTAGGGTTTAGGGTTTGTCGATGCTCCGCGCACACCACCACGCGAGACGTGTGTTGTGGTGTGCGCCTAGGTTCTACGCTCCCTCCCTACCCGCCCACCCAGTCTACGACCTTTGTCGGGTTTAGGGTTTTTCTTCATATCGTCGGTGTCGTATGAGGGGCACGATCTTAAACCGAAG